TAAAGAAATACAGATGAGAGCTAAAGCTGGTTAAATGGAATTAATTACATACAGTAATGACAAAGTTCTTGTTTAAGGTTTGTAGCAGTGATGGAATAAATTTTAATTTGCTCTAGAGAAACATCTTCCTGAGCCTTATCGAATGCCAGATTCACTTCTGAGATACCAGACAGACACTCAGAATTTTTTTCCACATATGCACTGCTTCTTTGCACAGACAAACAACCATCTTCCTCAGACAAACATTTGGAGAAACCCTCTACAGGCAAATCCTTGCCCCTAATAGACACAGGTTCAGGATTATTTCTTTCCCGTGACTGGTTTATGTCAATTGACTGAACAAAGCTTTAATATCATCCCCAATCAAAAGATCCTTAGGTAATAATTTTCTTACACCAGCTATAACTTCATGTGTAACACCGTTCTATTCAAGATGGATTCTGGCTAACGGCACACTTACAGTAAACTCATAGAGGATTACAATATTCAGACTCTCATTTGGTAAATAATCTTCCTATTTGACATGATCTGGTTTAACAAGAGTGATGTTAGAATCTGTAATTTGCCCTAAACAGCTTTTACCATTGACTTTTACATTCTGTACACAATTTATGGGGTTACCTTAACCCGAGCTCACAGTGCAAGCATTTACATAAAAGGTGGCAGTGTTGGGGGAAAAAATGGTTACACACAGACAACTGCTTAGAGTCAAACAACATACCAACATTGTTACAAACTGGATAGATTCTATCCCCATCTTTGTTGTTGAGAGGGACTGGATTTTCAGTATGATACAGTTCCTGTTGTTCCTTTATTCTCTTGAGTTGGAGCTTAAGTCTGTCCTCTTTAGACTTAGCTTCTAGTTCCTGCAATCGAATATATGCCATTTTTTGTTCATGTTCAAAACACAGGTGTTCTTTCAGTAACTTCTCCTTCCATATCATCTATTTTTTGCTTTTGTTCAAGTTCTAGCTGCTGGTTTCTCACTGCAAGCATTTTCGCTGGGTCTGCTTCCTTATCACTGGCAATTAACAGATTTTTCAGTTCCTGCTCTGGGTCCTTGTGCTTAAAATACAACCCTCTCTGTAAGCACAATTCTTCCAGGCTTTTTCTGTCAGGATCTTGATCATGGATCACTCACGGTAACTGATTTTTAACCCTTAAACTCTCCAATATCAAAATTAAATTTTGACAAGTTTTGACTGATCCAAAAACCCAGTTAACCTGTGGTAATGTGTATCCAAGCACGACTACACCACTGTAACAATGCGGCCTCTGGCAGGACACTACTGAGAGTATCCATTCAGGACAAATTGTTCAGAGCAGGACAGTCACAGCCCACGGCTGGGTGTCCTTTATTATTAAGGTATGCCAAACCAGCCAAACAGAGAAGACTTCGGTTTTACCCCACTGGCTAACCAGAAGTCATACAAGCAATTCCCTTAGACACTCCAGTTTCCCAGTATCACCACCAGCACCGCTCCTTATGGGGGTGAATGGTTATGAAAATCAATACCCCAGTAAAAGAAAAAAGGGTTCTCCCGATACCAAAGGACCAAGCCCCAGACCCAGGTCAATGTACCAGTCAGATCTTACCCACAAATCATGCTGTTGCCAATCCTTTAGAATCTAAAAGTTAATTCATAAAAAGAAAGAAATATAGACGAGAGCTAAAACTGGTTAAAGGGAATCAATTACATACAGTCATGGCAAAGTTCTTGGTTCAGGCTTGTAGCAGTGATGGAATAAACTGCACGTTCAAATCAAGTCTCTAGAGTACATCCACACTTGGATGGGTCATTCAGTCCTTTATTCAGAGCTTTAGTTTGTAGCAAAGTTCCTCCAGAGGTAAGAAGCAGGATTGAAGACAAAACAGAGGGGTTTCCAGGGCCTTTTATATTCTTTCTCTTGTGGGCGGAAACCCCTTTGTTCTCCTATGCAAAATCACAGAAACAAGATGGAGTTTCAGAGTAGCAGCCGTGTTAGTCTGTAATCGCAAAAAGAAAAGGAGTACTTGTGGCACCTTAGAGACTAACCAATTTATTTGAGCATAAGATGGAGTTTGTAGCCACATGGGCAAGTCACATGTCCATGCATGACTCTTTACAGGGAGAGCTGCCATTGCTCACATGCTACCTTGAACGTTTCCAGGAAGACTTCTCATGTGGATTGGAGTCTCCCAAGGTCCATTGTTAGTTAAGTGTTTCTTGATTGGGTGCCAAATCTGAAGAGTCCCTTCTCAGTAAAATGGCAAAAGGAGTACTTGTGGCACCTTAGAGACTAACCAATTTATTTGAGCATGAGCTTTCGTGAGCTACAGCTCACTTCATCAGATGTTTACCGTGGAAATGCTTCACTGGTGCTACTCAGAATCAAACACATTGAGATACAAGCACCTAGCCAATATTTATAACTCCAAATATAAAAATGATACATGCATACACATATCATAATCATAACCAGCAAATCATAATCTTCTCATAGACACCTCACTCGACAACCTTTGTACAATATTTGCTGCAAATATATAACAGTGGTTGCAACAATGATCTATACGGTTACAGTTCATGTCAATAACATCACCCTGGGAGATGGGGCCCAGGGTAGGGGTGGGGCCATGCCACCCTCCCTCCCCATCTTCAATCTGACCCCCACAGAGTGATGGGGCTCTCCTCCGGCTGGGGGTGTCTGCAGGCAGGTCTGCCACCACAGGGGTTGCGGGAGGGGAGATTGTGCCATCCCCCACCGACAGGGACTGGCTCCTCTCCCTGGGAGCCAGCATCTCGCGTGGGGGAGCAATCATGCCATCTGGGGCTCTCCAGGACTCTGGAGCTGGCAAAGCTCCACCCTGCCCAGCCCCTGCAGCTGGAGCTCTGTGGTGGGGGAGAGGGGGCAGAGTGGCTCTAGAGTACGGGGGTGGCCACTCCGGAGCAGGCATGGTGGACAGGTCAAGGAGAAGCAATCACACAGCGGGAGGGGATTGACCCTGAAATCCCTCCAGCCCAGACAAATGCCAATGTGGCTCCCCTGCAGCCTGACCCAGCTGGGGTGAATACCCCCACCACCATTGCCAGGGGGCAGGGAGTGCACCTGGCACCCGACACCAAGGGCCCTTGGTGCCCACATGCTGTTTCTGGCATTGCTGTGCTGGCGGGTGGCTGGGCGAAGTGCCTGAAGCTGCCTGCTGGGTCTGAAGAGTGGGCACCCAGGCTGGGGCAGGGAGAGGGGCTTCTCGGGGCGATGCCCAAGCTGTGCCGTGCAGCGAGGGGTGACATGCAGGGCATGTCTCCGGAAGCTCCCTGTGAGGTGCTGGACATGGGGGGCTGCTGTGGTGCAGCCTGCTGAAGTCTGTGAGGTGGTGGGATTGGAGTGCCAGCACCCTGGGTAATACACTGCAGGGGACGCTGGCAGGGCGAGCGCCAGCATCGCCCTCAGAGAGCTGGTGTCAGGGGTGGGGGGCTGGCTGACCGGTGATGCCAGCGCAGATGGGGGCAATCAGCATGCCTCCTTCCGGGCAGCCTCTGATCACTGCTGGGGAGGGGTGGTGCCCCCAGGATGGTGCTGTACGTTGCTCAGAGCACGAGGCTCAGATGGGGAAGTTGGCCTCTCACCACAGCTTCAGGCGTAGGCAGGCCAGGGCAGCCAGCCAGGGCACCGCCTGGCCCCCCTCAGGCCCATGGAGTCCGTCACGCTGTGATTCTTGGTTATGGGGGCTCTGGCATGCACCCAGCTCCTTCCCTCAAGCCCTGCAGGGGGCGATGTCATGGCAGCACTGATGCCAGCACCCTGGGAAATGCAGCCGGCTGGTTCTGGCCTGGCACAGAAACGTTTCCAAAGAAATCTTGCCGCCGAGGGAAAAAGTGGTTGCTGCACGTTTAACACCAGCTGCTGTATCGCCGCAGCACCGGTCTCAGTCTGCTGCACGCCACCCCGGCACCTGGGGGCATCGGCACAGCTGTGGATGTGGGTGCGACCTGGGGCTGGATTATCGGTGGGAGGCAGGGCAGGACTGGGGCCATGGCATAGCCATGGACTGGACCCAAGCCTGGAGGACCGGGGGGTTGTAGGGCAGGACTGGGGGAATTGGCAGGGACGGGACGGTCCGGGTGCCGGGCTGGGAGTGGGCCCCGCTGGGACAGTCTGGGCGCCGGGCTGGGATTCAGCCTCGCGGGGATGGTCCGGGCGCTGGACTGGGACTGGGCCCCACTGGGACGGTCTGGGCGCTGGGCTGGGATTCAGCCTCGCGGGGATGGTCCGGGCGCTGGGCTGGGACTGGGCCCCACTGGGACGGTCTGGGCGCCGGGCTGGGATTCAGCCTTGCGGGGACGGTCCGGGCACCGGCCTGGGACTGGGCCCCGCTGGGATGGTCGCTGGGAGCTGGTCACTGAGGAGGCTGGAGTGCTGAGGTTCTTTGAAGAGCTTTTATCTGCCTCTCCCTTTCCTTTCCCGCATCCCTCCGGCGCACTCAGCGCCCCCGGCTGCAGCCGGCTGCTGTGTCCGGCATCTCAATCTCCATATAAGGAGCTCACTCAAAGCTTTTCAACTTCAGTGCATTTTTGTCCATTTCCAACTCGGGCAAAGGCTGTCAGCCCAGCCCTCAGCTCCCGACCCCCCTGGGCTGCCCCCGGCTCCCTCGGGGAAAGCCCCCTATGGGGAGGGCTAGCGTCTGGCCGTGCCCCTGTGCCTGTGGCTGGTCGCTCGGCTGGCCTGGGCCTGAGGGAAAAAACAGGGGAGTCAGAACCAAAGTGAAAAACTGGCGCTGCACCCTGCTGGGGAACATGCCCTGGGCCACTGCACTGGGGCCGCTCCCCACTGGGGAGCCGTCTCACAGACCAGTTGAGAAGCCCAGGGTTCTGCTGGCATTGCCCGTGGCGACCTGCTGGCTGGCACTGTCGGGTGCATGCGGAGCTGGGGCCCCTCCGTGGGTGCCAGCAGCGGCATGGCTGATCCATAGGCCTGGCTCCAAGCAGTTCCCCTCACCAGGCCCCTTTGTCTTTCAGGGCGGCGATCCCTCTCTTGGACCCTGACACTGGGCTCTTGGTGGTGGCTGGAAAGGTGAGTGCTGGGAGAGCAGGGGGGCCATGCTGCAGCTGTTGTCGTGGGGGGCCGGGGCTCTCCTTGGGGGCCTTGGGGCTCTCACTCCGAAGCATTTGGGCCAGGAGTATGGTTCCTCCCTAGTTCCCTTGGTGGGGTTCAGCTGAGCAGGGCCCCCTTCTTCTAAACCCCTCTGTTCCCCCTTAGGTGAGATTGGGTGCACTGCTAGTCCACTCCAGTGGGGGGCGTCACTGCCCTGTCCCCTTATGGGGTATCCCCAGGCGAGGGGTCTCGCTCCATCCCTGGGGTGGAGGCAGCAGAATTTCACTGTCCCTGAAGCCTCCTGCTCCCTGGCCCCACGGCGGCTGGTGTGTCCAGGCGAGAGGTGGCTGCAGCGGTGCCAAGCCCGGGCGGGGGCAGCCCGTTGTGCCTGACCGGGGCCTGTGTGGGCGTTTGGGCCCTGCCATCTTGTCTCTGTTTCAGGGTGAAAATCTCCTCTACTGCTTTGAAGTGTGCCCCTCGCTGCCAGCCCTGATGCCGGGTGAGTCTCCATCTAGCGGCCACCCCGCGCTCCCCTTCCCAAGCTCCGTGGGACCTGGGGTGCCTTGGGGACTGCTCTCAGGCTGTGGGAAGGGCTGACATGGCAGAGGGGAAGCAGCCCGCTTCTTTGGGGTGAGGCCTGGGTATTGGGGTCCTCCTGACTGCCCCCACAAGGGACCCTCTGATATTATCCAGTGGGCTCAGTCCACCCAAGCAGCGCTCCAATAACCCGCGGGACGTCCTAGAATGCTGTGAGCTGTGTATAGTCTAAGGGCTGAGCCGGACCCAAACCTGGTGACAGGGAATGGGTGAGACCCCAGGCAGTCCCTGACACAGGGCACAGTGCTATGCCACACCCCCAGGGTATGCCTGGCCGATTAATTCAGTCAGTCACCGTGGGCGCAACAGGCAGGGGGCTGCTCAGTGGGACCCCCTGTGCGGGGTGCGCTGGGAGTGGCTGGGCAACACAGTGGACCCCCTGTCCTTGGGGATGGCTTGGGGCGGGCAGGAACCAAGAATGCCAGGGAGGAGGCCTGCTAATGGAGCGGCCGTGCAGCCTGCAGGGCACGCAGGGTCATGCTTGGGGAGCAGGTTCCTGGAGGGGCTGCCCTGGAAACAGAGTCCTAGGAGAATTGGACCCGGGGTGGGGGAAGAGCCAGCAGGTCCCCGGATGTCCGGGGCCACCTATGGCAGCGCAGTGAGCCACGCCAGCCAGTGGCAGGGGGATCACCTAGCCGCAGTATGAGGGGCCCCGGGGGCTGGCCTGGGACGGGGAAAACTCTGGGACCACTCAAGAGTTCTCACGCGGCTGCCTGTGTGCTAGACTGGCCCTGAGGCACCCTGATTGCCCCCACAGCTGCTGCCTGGTTTCATTGGGTCAGCGTGCCAGGGTCTCCCGCCCATGCCCCGGGATGGCTGATTGGGGATCTTGGTCTGTAATTGCGCTGGGCACGGATGTCAAGCGAGCGACAAGTCTGCGAGGCAGTGCTGGGTTTGAAAGCATGACGAGCCGCAGTGCCCGAGGGCCAAATTCAGTGGGGCTGGAGCGAGTACGTAATGGAAAGGCCTGTGCCTGACTGGGGTCTGGCAGGGCTGGGGTCCGTGTGCTTACCCCAGATGGCTCCGACGCCAGTAAATAGCCGCTGATAGTCCCGCAGGCCGCCCGGCCTCTCCAGCCGCCCTCCAGGCGATGGGCAGTGCAGCCCCACTCACACCGTGTCTCCGTTTCCTGCTAGTGACCCAGTATCTGATGGAGGGCAAGGCTAAGGGCGCCGCCCTCGTGCCAAAGCGGGCGCTGGACGTCATGTCCTGCGAGGTGCTCAGAGTCCTGCAGCTGACCGACAGCTTCATTGTTCCCATCAGCTACACGGTGCCCCGCAAGGTGAGCCCTGGGCATGGAGGAGGTCTCAGGATATCTGGCGGCCCTGTGCCACCAGGCCAGCCTGAGTCCGAAGGATGACGTTAACCGTTTCAGGACCTGGTTCTGAGCCGTGCTCTGTCCCTTCGCTCCCAGGAGCACATGGCTCAGCTTGTCCCCCGCAAACCCCCAGGGGGCAGGTGCATCCAGCTGCCCTGGGTACTGAAGAGCAGGATTGAGTCTTACCGTGCACCCCCCCTCCACAATGACCCTCCTGTGCAAGTGCTGAGCCCTGGAGCTGGCGGGGGGAGTTCCCTGGCTGCCACTGTTCCCTCTAAGCTGTGCGTGTGTGCACACGCACACAGATCCTACACCCCGCGCACATGGTGAAATCCCGCGCGCACAAAAAATGAAATACTAGAACGGAGCCAGGCTGAAATATCATTTACGGGCGACTTTTGACATTGTTTGCCCACCATCTATCAACACTGCCAGATTCTACTAGCTGGCAAGGCGGGGAAAGGGATAATGTATAAGCATTTTATTCGCTTGGGCGCATTTGCCTCATGGCACACAAATATGAACACTGCTTCAAAAATTTGCACAGAAGAAATTTTTTGCACACACGGCTTGTCAAAAATTAGAGGAACATTGCTGGCTGGGGCCTTTTTTGAGTGGGAAAATGTTTTGTCCCCAAAACGGCCCGTCTTTTAAACCAGACGTTTTGTGGGAAAACTTGAATTTGAAAAATAGTTTTCAGAAATGTTACTGAGGTTTTTAACTCCCCCCACCACCCCAAATCTAACTACACAACAGAAACAAGTTGAACATTTCCAAATAGTTTGCCCCTAAACCCATCTACTGCGAGCAGCTCTCCGTCCGACCAGCCGCCAAGTGCCCCAGGCTGCTCCTGGCCCCCGAAGCAGAACGATGCACCTTTTGGCTGCAGTCTATTTATCACCCCGAGCCATCAGTTCATAGGACTCCTTTTTTTGACTCTCCTCTTCTGAATGAACCAGCAGCTGTCTCTAGCCAGAGACTGCCCTATTTCATAGCACCGGTCTGGTCCCATCCAAATGGCTCAGAGGATGGGATAGAACTTGACTGATTTGTGGAGGAGGGGTAATCAAACACGGATAATCATTAGAAACACTTTTCCTTACTGGATCTCAACGTTCTTTGCAAAGTATTACCTGCATTTCACAGATGGGGAAGCTGCGGCAGAGAGGTGGGGTAGTGACTAGGCTGAGGTCATCCAGTGGCAGAGCCAGGAATGGAACCCAGGTCTCCACCCACTGGGCCGCATTGCCACCCCAGCTAGCTAGTTGAGATGGGCTGCAGTGCCAGGCTGTCTAGGGCACACCCCTGTTTGCTGTCTAACACACCCTCCTACTTCCCCCTTCTCTAGCTCTTGGCTCTCTCAAGGCCCTTTTAATGAGTGACCCCTTCCAACACCCTGGGGAGGGAGCTACGTTGTATCAGGGCCATTTTTCAATTGGGGAAACCAAGGCATGGAGCTGTGGCAGTGCACATTGTCAAACACGGCTTCCGATTCGGAGTGGCTCAGTGTTCACTGTCCAGTCGGAGACCCTGGGGCCTGGTTTTCAAAGCGGCTCCATCAGGTGGAGTTCTGGGCACTCAGCACTTCTAAAAATAAGGCCCAAGGTGTTGTAAGCTGGGCCCCTTACAACCAGGGGCTTGCCCTGTTGGACCCCCCTTCTGGAGAAGTGTCTGCTGGCACAGTCACCCCGTAACCTGGAGCAAGGCTGGGACCAGAGCTCCTGTCTGCCAGCCTCAAGTCATGCACCCGATGGGGCATCCCGCAGGGACAGGAAACCCCTGTGACTCCTGTGTCAGCTCCCCCCTGTGCTGAGTGCACAGGGGTCCAGTGCCAATGGACCTGGCACAGTGAGGTGGGGCTTTCTGAAGGGATTGGTGAGGAGGAGGGGGTCACTGCCGGGGGGCCGAAGCATCTGCAGGCCCGCTGGACATAACAGCTGTAGCACAGTGGGAGGCTTCCCAGGCACAGGGGGGCTGACTCAGGGTGGGGGAGCTGCGGACCCTCAATTCTCTGAGGGGGAGAGGGTGCAAAGCCCCAGAAGTGGCCCCCTGTCTGGTTTTTGCAGCTGCTCCTTTCCTGGAGAAAGCTGGAGGCTGCGTTTGGGACTCCAGGTCGGGGTGCAAATCCCCTGGCATAGCAGGCCGCTTTAGGGAGCTCCATGCAGAGAGGCTGTGTCCTGCCCAGTTCCCTCCAACGGCCAGGACTTCCCCGCACCAGGGAGCTTCAGGGGATGTTCCACTGAGCAAGATAAGAGGGCCCCAGGATGCCCGCACAGGGTTCATGCTCACTGGGATCATCCTGCCGGGGGGCGAGATCATGCCAGCCCTTCCCTGGTGCATACTCACTCAGCGCCACTTACAGCCTGTGTCTCTTCCAGTCCTTGCAGGAGTTCCACGAAGATCTGTTCCCAGACTCCACTGGGCCTGTCCCCGCGGTGTCAGCACAGGGCTGGTGGGCAGGGGACAACAAGCAGGTACCCACCCAGCTGCTGACTTGGCCTTCGGAGACCCAGGGTGCCCGAGGAGAGGCACTTCTACAGCTTCTCTCCATTGCTACCGTTCCATTGGTGCCGGGGGTGTGAGTCCCTCCCACCCATTGGTGCCAAGGGTGCGAGCCTGCCCCCCATTGGTGCTAGTGGTATAAGCCCCCCCATTGGTGCTGGTGGCATGAGGCCCTCCCATTGGTGCCAGTGATATAAGCCCCCCCATTGGTGCTGAGGGTGTGAAGGCTTCTTGTTGGTACTAGGTCTTCCCTGTTGGTGCCAGGGTGTGAGCTCCCGCCTGTTGGTGCCAGTGGTGTGAGTCCCCCCCATTGGTACTGGGGTACAAGGGCCTCCCTGTTGGTGCTTGGGGTGAGGCCTCCCCCGTTGGTGCCATTGGTGTGAGCCCCGCCACCTCACATTGATGCCGGGGGTGTGAGGCAACTGTGCTACCGTGGCATTCACTGATGAGGCTGGTCACCGCCAGGGCAGGTCTCCAGGATGTGGCATTTTGGAGTCAGCGCCTTGTCTGTTCCTACCATCACTGAGCCGGGGGTGGCAGTGCTGGGACCCCCCCCACCATGTAGAGCAGGCTGGGGGTCCTGGCCCCCTGGGTGACCGTTCTGGGGAGCGCTGCCCTCTGCAGGCTTCAGAGAGCCCCCTGGGGGGCGATGGGGGGTTGGGGTGGCAGCCGCAGTGCTGGGCAGTGACCCTCTGCTGCTGTCCATCAGGTGGAGAAGATGAGCCTGAACCCCGCCCTCAGGCCCCAGGAGACCTTCACCTCCTGCCTGTTTCCCCTTGCCCGACGTGAGGAGCCCGTGCCACCGGCTGCCCAGCATCTCGCCGCCCGCTCTGGGGACATGGACAGAAGCGTGAGTGCCGGGCCTGGCTGGAGCTGCCAGCCCACAGGGCAGGGGCTGCCTCGGGGTCCCACACACTGACACATCCCTGGGGCACTGCCAAACTCCCAGCGTGCACTGGGGCGTGGGGTACACCTGGCCTGGGGCACGTGGGGCAGTCACCCCAGAACCTGGGCGGGGCTGTGCAGGGTAGCACAGGAGTGAGGGCATGGCCATAGCAGCTGCAAGGCTAGGACTGTGACAAACAGCCACGGTAGGGGTTGGGGGGGAGCATTAGTGTCATGTGGGGTGAAAGGCTTGTGGGGGGCGGGGGCAGGTCTGGATGCCACATCGCTGCCAGGGTCTGAGCACTATAACTCCACACGCTGCCCCTTTGATCCCAACTGGCAGCACCCCACCTCTGCCAATGCCTTCCAATCCCGACCTGCCCCCCAGCTCTGCCAGCCTTCCAGCCCCAGCTCTGCCAAGACCCTCCAATCCCGACCTGCCCCCCAGCTCTGCCAGCCCTGCCCCCCAGCTCTGCCAATGCCTTCTAATCCTGACCTGCCCCCGACTCTGCCAGTGCTACCTGTGGCTCTGCCAGGCCTGCCCCAGCTCTGCCAGCCATGCCCAATCTCTGCCAACACCCTCCAATCCCAGCCTGCCCCCCAGCTCTACCAGCCCTGCTCCCAGCTCTGCCAGCCCTGCCCCCACCTCTACCAACACCCTTCAATCCCGACCTGCCCTCCAGCTCTGCCCCCCAGCTCTGCCAACACCCTCCAATCCAGTCAGCAGCCCCTGGCTGTTCTAGCCCAGCATCAGATTCTCCCAGCTACCTGCCATCCCCTGATGACTCCTAGGAGCTGCAGCTCCCATCGCCCCTGGGTTGGCATCTGACCACTGGCTGGTTCCCTGCCTGGCTGCGTTGGGTGGAGGACAGGGGCTTTGGCCAGGCTGTTTAACCCCCTGACTCCCTGTGGGGTCCGTTCTTCCCCACAGGAGGGCAGCAGCCTCTCGTCTCCCCCCAGCTCCCTGAGCTCTCCCTCCAGCTCAGCCCCATCTCTCTCCACCGCCAGCCCTAGTCAGAAGTCCCTGCAGAGCATTCTGGGTAAGTGGGAGCGGCCACTTGGGGGGCGCGGGCGTTTGGCTAGGCGGGTGCAGCCTGGAGCCAGGCACAAGGTGGCTGCCACGCCCAGGGCACTCTGCCATATCCTGGAAGATGGGCAGGGAGAGGAGCAGCAGCTGGCGCCTGGCTCTTCCTCGGCCCAGGCGGGCAGCCAGAGCTGGGGATGGTCCGTGAGGCCCTGCCCTGGTTGGGGGCAAATCCCTCACTCCTGCCCTCGTTCCCCACAGGGCCCAGCTCAAAGTTCCGTCACACCCTGGGGACGCTGCTGCCCCGCGGCACCCACATCACCAACCTCAAGGGGCTGAACCTCACCACGCCAGGGGAGAGCGACGGCATCTGCACCAACCGGCTGCGCGTCGCTGTCCCGCTGCTGTCAGCAGGTGGGCAGATCGCCGTGCTGGAGGTAGGTGCGCGGTCGGGCTGGGCGCTGCTGGGACGTGCCACGGCACGGGTGCGGGGTGGGCCCTGGGAGGGCAAGCTTCCCTGCCAGAGTGCCTCCACCCTGCCACCCTGGGGCTGAAAGAGCCCTGGCCCGCTCTGCTGCCCGCTGCCCAAAGGGAGCGGTTGGAGGCGCTGCTGAGACTGCATTCCCTGGCTGGCCCAGCCCCTGGCGCTGTGGAATCACGCAGGAGACCCAGTGGGGCTGGACTCCCTGGTGTGGGGCCTGGCTCTCCACAGCCGGCCCCACTCTGACAGCTCAGTGTGCTGCAGGGACATGTCCCCAAGGAGATCACGCATGTGGGGTGAGAACTCTGGCGTCAAAACCTCCAGCCCTGCCAGCCTGCCCTGAAGGGGCGCTCGTCTAGGTGGTACCAATAGTGGGTCTGTAATCCCCTCTGCGAGCCAGCCACTAGAGGGCACTGTCGCCCACACACTGCTGCCACTGTGGCTCATCACGCGTGGCCTGGGGAGGGTGGTGCTGAGACGGCGGGGAGGGGAAGCGAGGTGCCATCCTCCCCACTGCGGCACACCTGGGGATGGGGGTGAAGGTAATGGAGCTGCCGCGCTGCATTGACTGCGGGATTCTGCTGCAGCTCTCCAAGCCGGGCCGGCTCCCCGACACGTCCGTGCCCACCATTGAGAATGGGACGCCGGTCGCAGACTTCTGCTGGGACCCCTTCGACCTGCAGCGCCTCGCAGTCGGTGCGTGAACTCTCTAACCTCCCCTAACGCCCAGCTCCTCGCTGCCAGCTGCAGGTGTGGGGCTGTGTGATGAGAACTCTCCTCATTCCAGGCCCATGTCCAAGGCTGCCCGGTGCTCTCACCCCCCCACCCTCCCCGCAGGACACACTGTTAAGATCAGCAGTCCTTCTTCACTGCCCTTCTCTGGCAGTCTTCCTCCACAGATCTCCAATGCGCTTTGTAGACCTTCAGTAAGCCCCCAAAACCTTCCCCCACCTCAGCCACAAATGGAATCTGTGTAATCCCATTTTACAGGTGGGGAAACTGAGGCACAGTTTCTATCCCTTGCCCAAGGTCAGCCAGGTGGCAGAGGCCGGAGTAGAATCTCTTAATTCCCAGCCCTGGGATCTAGTCCCCCTGTTCCCCGTTACTGCTGGATCTTCTCTCATAGGCTAGTGAGTTCCTGATCTTTTCGGTAATCGCTGCATGAGCAGGTGGTCTAGTGGTTGTATCAGGACCCGTCAGGCGGGTTGGGTTCTAGTCCCAGCTTTGCTGTTGACATGCTGGGTAGCCACGGGCCAGTCACTGCTGCAGGACAGGGTTCCTGTGAAATGAGGCTGATGCCACTGAGTCCAGCAGAATGCGCACGTTTCCGAAGTGTGGTTGCCATTGCCGGATTTCAGCGGGTGATTAAAACAGGCCAAGCAATCTCTGGGAAATGCCAGGGGGAGATTTTTAGGAATGGTTGAAAATGAAGTTTCAGCAGTTTTTAAAACATGCTGGGGGCCACTTGGGGTGTGGGCACATTTCGGGACGTCCTGCTGCCCCGGCCCCTTGTCCTTCCCAGAGCACAGCTGACATCCCTGATCTTCGCCTGCCCAAGGCCCCAGCGTCCCAAGGGGCAGAGGCTGTTAGCACCCGGCTCATTCTTTGTCTCTGTTCGGCCATCTCGGGCGTTCAGCTGGCGACGATGCCAAGATCCGACTGTGGCGAGTCCCCCCAGGAGGGCTGCAGGAGACGCTGCTGGAGCCTGAGGCCGTGCTCAGAGGTAAGGGCTGTGGGAGCGTTTGTGGTGCTGGCAGACAGGGAGAGGCTCCGAGTGCATCTCTCTGTCCATGGCGGGCTGCAGTGCCTGGCCTGCCGGCTGGGTTTACCTGGCCCGCCCCACAGTCATGCTGTGCTGGAGCGAAGCTTTCCCTTAAGCCGATGAGCCCATCTCTAAGCTGGGGCTTCAGAGCAAACCATCCGGAGGGGACGGGAGTGTGTCACTGCTGAAGAAACAGGGCCCCAGGATTTGCCAGCTGGCTGGCTCCCTTGGCGGGGTGCTGGCTCCGTCACCGCTCTGTCCCTCTAACCAGGCCTGGTTTCAGTAGCCCGGGCTCGCTGGCTCCTTGCTCTGGGCTTCGCACGCTGGGGGCTCTGAACAGAGCGCCTGTCGCACCCTGGCTCCCTTGCCCACGCCAGGCCACGGAGATCTCCTCTCTCTCTTCCCCGAGGTCACACGGAGAAGATCTACTCCCTCAAATTCCACCCCCTGGCTGCAGACATACTGGCTTCTTCCTCCTACGACATGAGCGTGCGGATCTGGGACCTGCAGGCGGGCAGGGAGAAGCTGTGCCTGAGGGGGCACCGAGAGCAGGTAGGGGGCGAGCGAGGCCAGGGCAAGGGCCAGGAAAAGGAGTCACCACAGGCAGATGAGGCCTGCAGCTCCCCCACACTGCAACAGCCCCACGCAGCCCACGCGGGAGGGGAGGGCGCAGTCAGTGACGTGGGCTGTCGCTGCTGGAGAAATACGCAGGGCTTTTTAAAATGCATAAACATCTGCAGCCGGCCATAGCTGCGGAGATGGGAATCCCCCGCAGCCCGCTGTGGGTTGCACCTTCAGAAAGCTAAACCCCTCCTGAGAGATGGTCAGTCCCAGAGTGCTCCCTTGGGACGCCAAGCCAGACGAGCGCGCCAAGAACACAGGGGACAGCTTGTGTCTGGCAGCTGGGGCGTGTGAGCCCTCCGTGCGCCAGGGGCCAGCCCAGAGACGCACGCAGCGGGGTAGCTTCCTCCAGCCAGATCCTTCCAGATGAGCTCAGCACTGGCCCGCTCCCAGACCAGCCTGACTCTCTGGGCTGCAGCACCTGCCCGTCCCGGCTGCTGGCGCGTGCCCAGGGCAGCACCAGGCAGAGCTCAGGCTGCAGGGGCGTAACCTCCAGTCGCCATCCCAGGGTCAATCTAGATGAAGGCAGGGTGTGAGCAGAAAGCCCAGGAGCCGAACTGTGAAGCAGCGCTGATAATGCATGTGCCCCATGCCCCCACAGCGCTGAGTCCTGGGATAGCACGGTCAGAACAGAGGCACTGCATCCTAACCGGCCTTTGCCAGCTTGCAGCCATGCCAGCCAATGTCTCAGCCGAACCACCGAGCCTCATGGCGGCGGTGCTGGGAGGGCCCTGCCCACGGCCGATCCCCGCGCTTGGGACAGGGCTCAGGACAGATGGGACTGCTTTGGCAGGGGGTGGGAATCAGCACTGTTTGCCTGTGGGCATGAGGGGGGCTGGGACCTGAGCTAATGAAGCCCCTCTGTCTGTGGGGCTGCCGGGCCGGATCCCACCCTGCATGCCCTCAGGATTCCTGTCCCCAGCTGGTGTGGTTCAGGAGCGCAGGCCAGCCTGGCGTGCCCAGAGCCACGTCCCCGTGCTGGTGCCAGGCTGCGCGGGACACACTGGACGTGGGCCACAAGGAGGGAGCCTGGCGTAGCTGAACTGGTTTAAACTGGCATGCGTTTAGCGTGGGAGCGAGGCCTGGCAGAGGCAGCCACAGTAGGTCCATGGCTGTCCTGGCGTGGGGCTGGGCCCCCTTCTCCAGCACGCACAGGCTGATTCAGCTAGCGGGCCCCCTGCTGATTCTCCCCTTGCCTCCAGAGGTCCCTCCCCTGCCACGATCCATGCCCCGCTCTGCTTTAACCCTTCCAGTGCTGAGCCGGCAGCCTCTCCCAAGCCGGCTCCTCACGGTCACAGCTTGGATTGGGGCCCCAGCCTGCCCACCCCATCGCTGCCAGGCCCTTCCCTGCTTACCATGCTCGGTGAGCACCACGCAGCCGGTGCCCAGGGCCAGGACATGTGTGATACAGGCCGTGGGTGTCTTTCAGATCCTCAGCATGGCTTGGAGTCCGGATGGCCGGAAGCTGGCTACAGTCAGCAAGGATGGCAGAGTGCGGGTCTATGCGCCCCGCCAGTCCCTGGAGCCCGAGCAGGTGAGGGGTCGGTCGCTTCCTCCTGGGGGGTGAAGGGGAGGGCATGACGGAGCCAGGGCTATGGGGGGACCAGGAGGGAGCTGGCTGCGGGGCGTAGGGGTCCCTGGGGGGGTGTTTGGCCAGCAGCAGCAGGAGTGGGCTACAGTGTGCTCTGCTGTGCCCAGCCAGTCGTGTGTTCCCACTCCTGGCTCCCAGTCCCACCCCGAATTTGCCCTGCACAGCCCATTCCCCTTTGCCACCGGCCAGGGTCGAGGCAGATCTACAAGAAGTGTTGGGGGCGTAGGCCAGGGAGTCACAGTTCTCTCCCCCCAACAGGAAGGCCCTGGCCCCGAGGGCGGGCGAGGTGCACGGCTGGTCTGGGTCTGTGGTGGCCACTACCTGCTGGTGTCTGGCTTCGACAGGTAAGGGCTGGCACTGCGTCCCCGGGCCATCAGTCACCTGCGCAGGTCACGGCCCTGCGATAATGTCCATTGCCATGGTCCTGGGAGTGCAGCCGCCTCTGGGGGAAAGACGGCAGTTGACCCCACATGCAGGCCGTGGAGCTGAACACCGGGTGGCTCCGAATTGCACTGATCACTGGTCCCAGCAGGGCCTATGCCCTCAGCCAGACTGTGCCGCCTGCTCCACAGGGCAAGGCTCCAGAGCGAGGGATGCTAGCTTCGTGTCAGTGCCCGGAGCAGCGTGGCACCCACGCCCTCCCCAGAGGGACCACCCGGGGGCGCAGTCACTTCCTGGCTGGCCGTGCTGCAGAGTCCCAGCTTGGATGACTGCTCTGCTAGGGACCCCAGCTCCAGTCGCCCTGCGGAGCCAGGGGTTACTGGTGGGCAAAGCAGGGCTTCACTTCCTGTCCTAAACCGCTGCTGCACGCTGGCCCTGCCGCCCCACGGGGCTGCATTCCCCAGGGGGCCACGCACTCCCTGGGATGCTGGGGCCGGTTTGTGGAGGAAGCCCCAGGGGGTCCCTGGAGACCAGGTGGGAGCCTTGTGAGAGGTGGCCCCAGCGAGGGGCCCAGGAGGCAGGGTCACCTGCCATTCTGCAGGAGATCTCCCTGCCAGGAGCCAGGCCTGGGCCCTGAAGCCAGCTCCATCTGCCTTACTCTGCACCTGGCCTTTATCTAGACACCAGGTCAACACCCTAGCGCTGTTGCCATCTCCCTGCTGCCTGGCCTGTGAATTCTTGTGTCCAGGCTCCCCTGCCGGGCCCGGTGCACATCTTGAATGGGAGGCAGCCGCAGCCTGAACCGAGCCAGCCTCCATCCCACGTGGCCTCCGGCATGGCAGTGCCCCAGGAATGGGATCGCCAAGGGAGCAGCATCTCCTCACGAGGAGGACGAGGGCAGCTGTGTGGTGAGCTGGCCACGTGTCCCGCTGATCTGTGCCATGTTCTCCACACAGCCGCAGCGAGCGCCAGCTGTACCTGTCTGACGCAGCGTCCCTGGCAGCCGGGCCCCTGGCGGTGTTGAGCATCGACACAGCTCCCTCCACCCTCATCCCTTTCTATGACCCGGACACCAGCGTGGTCTTCCTCACCGGCAAGGTGAGTGTCTGGAGGCGGGGCAGCTCAGCCAGTTCGCATGGACAGGGCGTCTGCCAGCTCCTCGCCAGCCCTGCCGGGGGCTGGGCATAGGAGCCAACCTGGAGGTGAGTTGCAGAGCGAGGCCCGGGCGGAGCCAGGAGCGTGACTGGGGTGTTCCCAGGGCTCGGACCGCCAGGGCCCATCCTTCTCTCTCCATTGTCGCTGCGGGTGGCACATCCTGGCCGAGCTGCCAGGCCTCAGGCTGTGCCAGGAGTACCAGCGGGGCAGTCCTGGGCCAACGGGCAGTCGAAGAGCCCGGGGCCTTGGAGAAAGGCCTGAGCAGCGTCTGGGCTCTGCATGTCCCACAGGGCCTGGCACATGGGTGTGGACCTGCTAGCTTCGTGCCAGTCCCTGGAGCTGCACGGCACCCATGCCCTCCCCAGAGGGACCACACGGGGGGTCGGTCACATGGCTGGGTTGCGTGGCTGGCCATGCTGTACAGTCTCAGCTTGGCTGTCCCATAGGGCCCTGGCACATGGGTGTGAGCCTGGGAGAAGCAGTGACTGGCAGCCCAGCAGGGAGTGCCCCTGTGCCCGGCTGCTGGGGCATCAGTGGCCATGCTCTGTTTGGAGCAGGGGGTCTCCAGAGGGCTGGGCCCCAGGATGATGGAGTGGAGTCTTCCTGCATGGGGGAGAAGCTCCCTGCCTGGGTCCCCTGTTGGGAGGCTGTTGGCCCAGACAGCCCCATGGGCTCCGTCCCACAGCAGCCAGGCTTCAGGCCGTGCTCTCCTTGCAGCTGGCCCTGGAGGGCTGGGTGCTGCTCCTCCTCTGGGTCCCGCCCGGGAGCCTCCCCACGGCCCATTGCCTCCCTCTCCGTGTCACCATGGGGCTGCTGCATCCTGGCTGGCTCACCACACACCACACCTCCATGACAGCACCAGGGGGACACGGCAGCTGCCCCCGACATTGGCCCGGCCTGGCCGCACCCCATACATCGCCAGCTCTCCCCTCACGCGACTCTCCTTGGCCTTGGCGTTTAGGGCGACACAAGAGTCTTTGTTTACGAGGTGGTCCCCGAGGCGCCCTTCTTCCTGGAGTGCAACAGCTTCACCTCCAGCGACCCACACAAGGTACCGGGGCTGGCGGGGAGAGGGCCCTGGGCAGAGGGAACAGGAGTGCCAGGCCAGCTGCCCGCTCACAAAGGCAGGGCTCCTGCCTCCCCCAGTCAGGCTCTGCGTGTCCAGTGTGTACCCTGGCCTCCCCCAGCCAAGCTAGGCCTGGGGGTGGCCTGGCAGCGCCTGCCTTTGCTGCTGCCCTCCTTGGCTGGCGGCAGGTTTCTGCGAGGCTGGGTGGATGGGGCAGCTGTCCTGGCTGGCTGTGTTGGGACAGTCGGATCTCCCAATGGCTGACGAGCACAGAGACACCAACGCCTCTGATCCCCGGCTCAGTCCTGGTCTGTGCATGCTCCAGCGGGGTGGGGGTGCCCATATCCCTGTGGCCGGTTGGGGGCAATTTCTGCATCCACCGCCCGAGCAAGGAGACCTGAATGCTCCGTGTCAGCTGTCCTGGCTCGAACGGCCCCAGGCCATGGGTGGCTCTGTCACATCAGGGGCACAGTCATGGTCCAGGCCACGTCGCTGCATCGGAGCATGGCAGAGCGGGCACAGCCGGGACCTAGTGTTGGCAGAGCCCGCTGCGCCCCATGGGTCCCCATGCAGGGCTGTCCCCGATCACACGTTCCCCAGGGCTTGACCAGCCCAGGCCTCAGTATCCCAGGGACAGCCTGTAACCCCTTCCCCAGGAGACCGGACCACATCCCCAGACAGATCCACCCCCACCTCACCCCTTCCTTTTCCCTGCCAGTCCTGCGGCCGGGAACTCGCCACTCCGCTCCCTTGTATAGCTGGTGCAAAGCCGCCCTCTAGTGGCCGTCCAGGGGAGTCACTATCTCCAGGGTGCCGGGGCGTTATAGAGCAGCAGTTCCCCGCCACCGCCGCTCGAGGGACGCGTGGTGCCAGGGGGCATAGTGCAGGGACACAGTGCTACGAGTGCAGGAGGAATCCCGCTCCAGAGACAGGTGGAGCTGCCCACCTGTGTGTGCAGGGGAAGCCTCCTGGGCAGTGCCCCCAGCCCCGCCCTCGAAGTCCAGGTTGGCAGCCGCCCCCCGGGCTGCTGGAGACTGCAGCCGTCCCTCTCACTGCATGCTGGCCGGCGGTGGGCAGGAGCTCCACATCCCCCTCTGGGCATGGGGGTCCATGGGCGGGCACCAGGTTAGAGGTGCGCCCGGGGGCTTGGCTTTCCATAGTGTGGGGCGTGGCACAGGAAGGGAGAAAAGGAGGCTCTGAACTCCTGAACTGCCCTTCCTCGTGCTGAGCCCCAGGGGCTGGCATGGTGAGCGTTGCCCACATAGGCAGCCGACAGACCGGTCCCATGGGGGCAGGGTCTTTCTCGTGGGCTTTGGGCACCTGGCCTTCACAACCCAGACATCCCAGACTGCACCAGGAGCCCTGTGGCACAGGGTGCTGTAGAGAGTGTTCTGGGGAGAGGCAGAAGCAGGAGGAGAGGGTGGGGCCAGGGGACAGCACCATCCTTTGTGTTCTACCCCATGGCACTTTTTGCAGGGGTCGGGTTGCCAGGCTGGGCTCCTGTTCCAATTGGGGTAAGGATGTTCTGCCTCCATTCAGCCCCACTGCAGTGTCAAATGACTGTCAGGTTTCTTTATTTGCATGCTGTTTTCCTGGGCTGTTAATCAGCTGCCACGTTCCACACCAGAAGTGGCTGCATCTCATTGGTGGTTCAGGCCTTTCCTCTCTCGCTTTGCTTTGTAACTCTGCAGAGGGCCACGGAGCCTGCACAAATCCTGTGCCCTGAGTAGGCAGCGCCAGGGAGCCAGCAGCACTGCCTGAACACGGCCTCATAGAATCATAGAATATCAGGGTTGAAAGGGACCCCAGAAGGTCATCTAGTCCAACCCCCTGCTCGAAGCAGGACCAATTCCCAGTTAAATCATCCCAGCCAGGGCTTTGTCAAGCCTGACCTTAAAAACCTCTAAGGAAGGAGATTCTACCACCTCCCTAGGTAACGCATTCCAGTGTTTCACCACCCTCTTAGTGAAAAAGTTTTTCCTAATATCCAACCTAAACCTCCCCCACTGCAACTTGAGACCATTACTCCTCGTTCTGTCATCTGCTACCATTGAGAACAGTCTAGAGCCATCCTCTCTGGAACCACCTCTCAGGTAGTTGAAAGCAGCTATCAAATCCCCCCTCATTCTTCTCTTCTGCAGGCTAAACAATCCCAGCTCCCTCAGCCTCTCCTCATAACTCATGTGTTCCAGACCCCTAATCATTTTTGTTGCCCTTCGCTGGACTCTCTCCAATTTATCCACATCCTTCTTGAAGTGTGAGGCCCAAAACTGGACACAGTACTCCAGATGAGGCCTCACCAATGTCGAATAGAGGGGAACGATTACGTCCCTCGATCTGCTCGCTATGCCCCTACTTATACATCCCAAAATGCCATTGGCCTTCTTGGCAACAAGGGCACATTGCTGACTCATATCCAGCTTCTCGTCCACTGTCACCCCTAGGTCCTTTTCCGCAGAACTGCTGCCTAGCCATTCGGTCCCTAGTCTGTAGCTGTGCATTGGGTTCTTCCGTCCTAAGTGCAGGACCCTGCACTTATCCTTATTGAACCTCATCAGATTTCTTTTGGCCCAATCCTCCAATTTGTCTAGGTCCTTCTGTATCCTATCCCTCCCCTCCAGCGTATCTACTACTCCTCCCAGTTTAGTATCATCCGCAAATTTGCTGAGAGTGCAATCCACACCATCCTCCAGATCATTTATGAAGATATTGAACAAAACCGGCCCCAGGACCGACCCTTGGGGCACTCCACTTGATACCGGCTGCCAACTAGACATGGAGCCATTGATCACTACCCGTTGAGCCCGACAATCTAGCCAGCTTTCTACCCACCTTATAGTGCATTCATCCAGCCCATACTTCCTTAACTTGCTGACAAGACTACTGTGGGAGACCGTGTCAAAAGCTTTGCTAAAGTCAAGAAACAATACATCCACTGCTTTCCCTTCATCCACAGAACCAGTAATCTCATCATAAAAGGCGATTAGATTAGTCAGGCATGACCTTCCCTTGGTGAATCCATGCTGGCTGTTCCTGATCACTTTCCTCTCATGCAAGTGCTTCAGGATTGATTCTTTGAGGACCTGCTCCATGATTTTTCCAGGGACTGAGGTGAGGCTGACTGGCCTGTAGTTCCCAGGATCCTCCTTCTTCCCTTTTTTAAAGATTGGCACTACATTAGCCTTTTTCCAGTCATCCGGGACTTCCCCCGTTCGCCACGAATTTTCAAAGATAATGGCCAATGGCTCTGCAATCACAGCCGCCAATTCTCCTGGGGGTCCGTCAGCCCCCAGCCTCCTGGGGGTCCGTCACCCCGTTGCCATCCCTGCCCCTCGCTGAGGAAGAAAGCATGACTCGGCGGTATCCCCAGTGCCCCAGAAGTGAGATTCACAGGGGCCAGGCCCCCAAGGGCTGGTGCTGCCAGGCCCTGGGGGACTCTGACATCTCCCTCTCTGCTTTCCCAGGGCTTTGTGTTCCTGCCCAAGACGGAGTGCGATGTGCGGGAGGTGGACTTTGCCAGGGCTCTGCGCCTGAGGCAGAACTCCATCGAGCCGGTCGCCTTCAGGGTCCCGCGAGTCAAGGTGGGTGGCATCGGACTCCCTGGGCTGCGCGGGGGGCTGGGCCAGGACAGTCTGAGCCCCAAGGAGCGAGCCCTGCCGTGCTGCCTGCCCCCTCCCTTAGGGGGCTGGCCAGGCCGAGCCCCTTCACCCAGCATAGCCCCTAACCCCGGCCTTCCTCCCATGTGCAGAAGGACTATTTCCAGGACGACATCTACCCAGCCACTGCAGTGTGCTGGGAGCCAGCCCTCTCCGCCGCAGCCTGGTGCGCGGGCACCGATGGGCAGCACCGCACCATCAGCCTGCAGCCCCAGGACATGACGCCAGGTGGGTGAGGGCAGGGCCATGGGAGGCGGAGGGGCCCAGAGTGCCGGGCGCAGCGCAGGTGGCGGCTGGCCTCTGGGTGATGCAGAGTGGGTCCCATGCACCTTCCTCTTCCCCACACGCACCAGCGTCGGGGGGTGGAGTGAGGGCACTCAGGGAGGAGGTGTCCCCAGCTATGTGGCACTGGGAGAAGGACCCATAGACCCAGCTGAGGCTGATCAGACCGGCAAACCCTTGCTGGGCTCAGGGTGGGCAGGGGGAGGGATCTGGGGGTCCTTGCCAGGCTCTGGGCAGGCAGGGTCCGCACCCCAGGCTGGCGTCTCTCTCTGGGACAGGAGGAGGCCAGGCAGGAGCCGTTCTTCGGTGGCCCTTTGTGAAGGCTGGTGAGCTCGGGGCTGGCCGGTACCAGGGCGGGGGGGGCAGGGGGGGGCAGAGGGTGAGGAGGTGGGTGCTGATGCTGCTTTCTCCCTCCGGACCCATCTGTGCCAGTGAGCGCAGCCCCACAGGATGTGCCGTCCCGGAAGTACGTCCCGGCCTCGGTCTACCTGGAGGAGAAGTCTGATGAGCAGAAGAAGGAGGAGGTGGGCTGCCCCGGGGATCTGTGTGCTTTGACTCACCTCAGCTTGGCCACCCCAGCCAGCACTGCCCAGCCAGGCCCCCTGCCCCCACAGCTGCAGGCTGGACCTGGCCCAGTGCTGGGGACCACTGACCCTACTGGGTGCCCCCCTACCCCTGTTGTCCATGCCAGGCACTGACCCCCCCCCCCACAGAGCCCCCTCCCTGCTGGGTGCTAACCCTGCCCACCAGCCCCCTGGAGCCCCCTCCCCGCCTGGCACTGACCCTGCCCGCCAGCCTCCTGGAGCCCCTTCCCCACCAGGCACTGAACCCACCCATCAGCCCCATGGAGCCTCCTGCCAGACACTGACCCACCAGAACTCCCAGGGGAGGGGGGAGTATCTGGCACAACAGTGCCCACTGGACAGTTAGTCTCCATTCTGTGCCTGGGGCAGGGGAGCGGGACTGCAGTGCCTGTATTCCACCACCCGGCTGCCAGTAGCAGGCACCATGGGGGCAGTGAGCGCTGGGAAGGCCCCCTGGGTCCCATTGCGGGACAGCACCGATGCTCTGCCCTTCTCCCCGCAGCTGCTGAGCGCAATGGTGGCCAAGTTGGGTAACCGGGACGACCCCCTGCCGCAGGAATCCTTCGAAGGGGTGGATGAAGCGGAATGGGTAGGGCCAGGGGGCCTGCTCTGGGGGTGACAGGGGGGTGTTGCAACATGCTTCCCTGGGGGTGGGGGGCAGGAGCCAGTCACTCAGTTCACTGGCCATGAGGGGAGGAGAGCTGGGGCCTCAGTGCTGCCTGGACCCCACCTCCTGCTCCCCACCCCCACGGGGGGAAGCTGGGCAGCGGGAGCTACGGACGGTTCCCTGAGAAGAAACCCTCATGGCCCTCCATATCCAGAGGGACTTGTGGGGCTCTGGAGGAGGCACAGAGCAATCACACCCCTCTGCCAGGAGCTCTGCCCGAGACGGGGGGTGGAATCCCAAGAGGACAGTATGCCTGGTGATCACACCCCTGTGCCAGGTGCCCTGCCCGAAACGTGGGGGGATCTGGAGAGGGCAGCATGTCCAGTGATCACACCCCTGTGCCAGGCACCCTGCCCGGCTCCCGCTCACTCCATCTCTTTCTTTGTAGGACTAGCCCTGGAGGGGTGACTCCTGTTTCCTGGGACCGCAATCTCCTCCGTGCCAATGCTGCTGGCTCCCCACCTCCCTGCCTGGCCTTCACAGCCCCCACGCTGAGGCCTTGCTTTTTGCTGGACTGTGCCCACACCCCAGGGCTTCGCTGCTCCCCAATCCAGCACCGATCTCCCTGGAGGGCCTCAGGCCCAGCCCAGGCCCTTTCCCAAAGAGCCCGGGAAGTCGGCTCTGCGCCAGGCTCTGCCTTGTTACCTAAGGGCTAATGGACTGAGTGAGCCAGATCCTGCCAGCTTCGCCAGGCTGCACCCTCCTCTCCGTGTGGGGTCTGGGAGGGCTATGGACACTCTGCTGACCGCGGTGCTGCCGGGCCAGGGCTGGCCGTGCTGGCCGTGGCTTCGGCCAGTTTATACTCTCTGCCCGTTGGACCAGCAGGCTCCTCTGGGCACCTCAAATCACCCATCCTCGAGCAGAGCTGCTCGTCGGTCGGCTGATGTTCACATTGTGCTTGGGCCCCAGCCGATGGCACTGTGGTGGTAACCACTGCGGGCAAGGACAGAGCCACCCTGGGGGCTGCAAGGCTGGGGAAGGAGAGGGCTGTGGGGAGCTGGGGATGCCACCGTGGGATCCGGGGGCTTCCCAGCCTGGCCTTTCATAGCCACCAACCCTCCCTGTTCTCGCAACACAATCTCTTTAGCCCGACTGAGCATGGCCCCCAAGCAAAGGTGCGGCCTGCAGCACCTCCTTCAGGCCAGCCCAGCTCACAACGCACTGGGCTTTAGGGGTCTGATACCCAGGGCTGCAGGTGCCTTGAACACCTCCACAAGTCTACTCCAGAGCACTTGCACATGCCTCACGCGTCTTTCAGGCTACGGGGAGCAAGGGCCAGAGGCTGGAATCACTGCGGCACAGTGTACGCCAAGTGTCTTCTCTGAGTTCGGCTGTTGCCCCCGCTGCACCTGGCTCACTGGCACCTGTCGATCCAGTGCAGGGGTCTGGCCTGGGATTGTTCTTCAGTTCAGATCTGAAGGCAAAGTCACACTTGTTCTGTTTCCCCTCCGGCAGACATTCAAAGCACAAGCCTTCCCAAGAGGGGCACCACACCCTGGCCTCGAGGGCTGCCTGTCTGGAGGGTCGGCAGGAGTCGCTGGTGGGTAGCCTTGGCAGAGAGCAGGGATGGCACAGGCCTGGAGCTTAGCACTGTGGTTCAGGAACCCAAGGGTGCCCGGCCTGTGTGGCACGGCCAGCCCAGGCCTGGGCCCAGCCGCAGCAGAGCTTCCACTGCAACCCCACTGGCACGCCTCTGGAGCCTCCCCTCTACCCCAGGCTGGGCTTGGGGCACAGGCTGCTGCTGCGGGTGGGTGGTGCCCTCTTGGTTACAACTTGGACTCAAGTTCCAGGTACTATTACTGATTTCCCTCTGACCCTGGCATTTAGTGCAGCGCCCCCATCAGCTCGGGCGGGTGGTACCCGAGGGTTCCAGATGCTTGCCCTGTTGCTTGTGGGATACCCAGTCTGGATGCCTCCAGGCTCCAGGGCTGCCAGGCTGGCATCCTTCCCCAGCATTACATTCGCTCTGCGCAATATTTCACCAACAGTGTGAGCCTTTAGCCCACCTAGGCAGTGTCTCGCAGAGAGTGCGTGATATCGCCCAGTATGTGACCTGCCTGGGCGCTGGGGGAATGTTCTCTTGGGGTGAGAGAGCAGAGCCGAGCTACCCTGAGCCAAGACCCACAGCTGCCCAGCCCTTCCTGGAGGGCCTGGCACCGCAAGGGGCATTGCCTTGCCAGCAAGCCCGAGTGCCAGAGCAGGACTGGGGCTGTGCTTTGTAAGGCCCGGGAGCCTGGGGGTGGGGACTCAGTGGGTGTCCACTGGGAGAGGACAAATGCCAGCAAGCCAGTGGAGAGGAGGGAGGGGGCTTCTGAAACGGCGCCGCGAGTTTTAATAAAAAATGATATTTTGAACCAAACAAACGGAGGCAGCAAATCTATAGTCCCTGAAAGGCAGCATGGCAGGCAAAGCCTCCTCCTTCTCCAGGGCTGTGGGGGATGGATTCTCACACCTGCCTCTTGGCTGGCTGGTGCCGCAGCTCCCTGTTGATGCTGGCCTGTGGCCAACTCCCACTTGCCCGTCATCTGGATGTCTTTGCAGCCCAGCTCATGGGCTGCAGCTGCTGGGAGGGCCAAGCCCAATGCAGGTAGCCAGTGTGGGCAGGGAGTCCCTGAACCACTGCAGCCGACTGTGCCTTCTCCCCTCGGACCCAGTGCTCCTGTGGGTGAGCCTTAGTGCTCACCACCACAGTTGTGGCCAATGGAAGGTGCCTCCCAGGGCTCTGCCAGCCCTCCATTTTCCTTGGTGGGATACAGGGGTGCAGCGGTGGTACACCCCAGCCCCCGAGCCCAGCGCATCGTCTTGCAGCCAGCAGTTTTCAGGGCCGGGCACTCTCAGCTCCCACTAGGCACATCACTGACGCTCCAGCCTGGCCCGCTTGGAGCCTGCAGGGGCTGTGTTCACAGCTCAGGACTAGGACTCCCTGCAGCTCGGGAGACAGCTGCCCCTGGTGCGGGCACCGCCTGGGAGGGGTTGGGAGTTGCAGGTGTGTTACGCCTGGGCCCGGGGGCGGGCAAGGCTGTGGAGAGGATGGAGTTCAGATGCGAGGCCCTGGGGGAAGGCCACAGGGTAACTGTTGGCTCCCTGTTGCTCTAGTGACTGCTATTGCACCGGGCATGGGTGGAAGGCAGGCAGCAAGGGCAACCTACGAAAGCCCGCCCCCCCCTTGGCTGATTGTTTGAAGTCTGGGTTTGTAGTGATTTGGAACCAAACCTAAACATGTTGAAATTGGCCATTCAAGGGACTGGAGGTCTGGCTCAGGGGCCGTTCACCTGTCAAGCTGCCCCAGAGCCACAGCTGGAGTCACGAACGGGGGAGCTCTGGGGTCTCCAACTCTGTTGACTTGGTGGGCTGCCCCAGAGCTGGGGCGCCTGCCCAGGGTTTCCAGCCTCGCCTCCCTGCCCGGCCACCCCAGCCAGTGTTGATCCCAGGGCACTCAGCTCGCCGGGGCGGGTCGTGCCAGGGACGTGGCCAAATGCCAGCTCAGGCAGTTCCCTGCTGCCCCCGCGTCCTCCCTGCCAGGGCCGGGCCGGGCCGCCCCCATGGCTGTGCCCACGTGGCCGGTCCCAGTCGGGGGGGACACACCCCAGGGGCCGCGGGTGCGGAGCGTGGCGGATCTCGGGCCGGGCCAGGACCCAAAGCCCCAACCCAAGCGCTGCAGATGGGCCGTGGCGCGGCTGCCCCCCGCACCGCGGAGGGTGGCTTGAGGTCAGGCCGGGGGGCGCTGGGGCAACGATGGGGATGAGCGGCCTGGCTCCCGGGACAGGGGCACCCAGCTCCGCCCCCGCTGCAGCCTCCCCGCCGTCCGCCAGGGGGCGCGCTCCCCTCTCGCGCGGCGCTCGGCACCTACCGCTCGCTGACCGCGGGGACACTCTGCCCAGCGCCGTCTCTATGGCGCCCCCGCGGGGGCCGCTGCCCTTCGCTCCCTGAGCCGGAGCCTGCTACAGGCCGGAAGCGCCGGGGACATGGTGAGCGGGGCCGGGGTCGCTGCCCCGAGCCGGGGCTCCCCAGCCGCGCTCCGTCCTGCGCAGGCCCCGCCGCGGGGTGCCGGCCCCGGGCCCCTCTGCCCGGCGGCCGCCGGAGGTTGGGTCCACGGACTCGCCCGCGGGGCCCTTCGCGGCGCTGGGGGGAGCCCGGGCAGCCGCCGGCCCCGGCCCCGGCCCCGGCCCGCGGAAAGTGGCTGGTTCCGTGCGGCTTGGCCGGGCCCGTCTGAGCGGCAGCAGCCTGGGCGGCCCAGAACAGCCCCCGGGCTCCCCCCCGGTGCCGGGCTCCCCCCCCCGGTGCCGGGCTCCCCCCCGGTGCCGGGCTCCCCCCCCGTGCCGGGCTCCCCCCCCGGTGCCGGGCTCCCCCCCGGTGCCGGGCTCCCCCCCCCGGTGCCGGGCTCCCCCCCGGTGCCGGGCTCCCCCCCCCCGGTGCCGGGCTCCCCCCCCGGTGCCGGCGGCGCGAGGTCAGGGAGCCATCCGTCCGTCGCCCCGGTACGCTCTGTCCATGGCAAGCGGCCCTGGGCAGAGCGTGCGTGTGCCGAGGCCCTGGGGGCTGGGAACACTCCCCTGGCTCGGGGGAGGGGGGTCTGGGCGGCCCTCGACCCGCTCTGCCCGGGCTCCTGACCGCCGCTGGGAGGGGTGAGCCCAGCGCCTGGCGTCCGTGTACAGCGGCCTGTCTGGTCGCGTTCACATGCTAATGCAGGGGCATTAGCTGCTCCTCCGTTTCCGGTGCCCAGGGCCGGGCTGGCCGTGCCCTGCAGCCAGCCAGCAGGGACGTGCAGCTGCCTGGCCGCTAGAAGGCGCTCGCTGCGTAACAGGAACACCCGGGCTGCTGGGCGCAAAGGCTGGGGTTACTCTGAATTCAGGTGCACGGTCTGGTGAAGTCTCCCCCCGCCCCCCAGTGCAGGGTTTGTCTAGAGCCGCACTGTGCATCGCCAGCTTTTGCATCCAGTGCCCTTCCCTTTTGCATCCAGTGCCCAGCGAGCATTGGGGTCGCCTCTGGCTGCCTTTCCTGGGCTCCCATAGCCAGCGATTTAACTAGTCCTAGGGCACTGGCCCTATTGGTCCCTGATCTGCCCCAGGCTCTTTTGGACCATGTTGTGTCACTGGCTGGGCTAACCGATTGCTGGTGTTTTGGCAGGGTTAATGCTTTGGGGGAGGAGAGTGCTTTTAAGCTGACTAGTGCCTGAGTTGTGCGCGGGAGGGGGAGCCGCTGGATCTCCCTGTTTACCTGATTCCCTTCCTGAACGATGCAAGGTCCGAGGAGTAACCTGGGCACACCCACTCAGAAGGCCCCTTCTGTAGGCCCCTGTCAGCAGGAGGCATTTGACTGCTTGTGCTTTGTCTGCAGGCCAAGTACCTGGCGCAGATCATCGTGGTGGGGGTGCAGGTGGTGGGCAGGGCCTTCGCTCGGGCGCTCAGGCAGGAATTTGCAGGTAAGCACCAGTCACCGTCGCCAGCCTTGTCTCTTGCATCCAAGGGGGATATCCATGGAAACCTCATGTTGTCCTTGAGGGTGACCCCCAGCCTTGGCTCTGCTGGCGGGCACCGGGCCTGTGCTGCTGAGCTCCCCCTGCAGCCTGTGGCTGGGGAAGGCAGCCTGGATTGGCACCTTCACTTGTGAGAACTGCTCAGTAATGTGCAATAGTGTTCGCGTGTTACCTGCACGGACCCAGGCTAGTAACACGAACTGCTGCCAGGCAGGGAGCAGGGATGGGGACCTGGGCTGGGATTCCAGTGTTTCCTGGGGGCCCTGCTCGGTGGCTGATTAGGGCCAGGCTTACTGGGTGGCCCTGGTGGGGACAGTTCTGAGTGCTGTACAGAGAGCAGGGGGATCCTCTGGGAGGGAGGGCAGGATCATCCCCATTGCCGCACACAGCCTGTGACAGACTGGAATTGAACCCAGGCATCCTTGGCTCATGTGGCCACGCCCTGCGCTCCCACCCCCGTTCCCTTATGTCCATAGAGGTCCTGTAGCACTTCCCTTTGCATGTTCAATAGCCCCAGGTAAGCTCTCCTGTGAACGCTGTGGCCAGGTGCGCCAGGGAGAGCGGGCTGTGACTGGAGGAGTGATCAGGTTGGGGTCTCTCTGAACAGCCAGCCGAGCAGCGGCCGATGCGCGGGGACGTGCTGGACCCCAGTCTGCTGCAGCCACCAGCATCTCAGGGATCAGCCTGCAGGAGGCCCAGCAGATCCTCAACATCTCCAAGCTCAGCCCAGAGGAAATTCAGAAGGTAAAGTCATGGCTTGGAGCAGGCCAGTCCAGCAGGCAGGCCTGCATGGCAGCAGGTTGCTGAGAGGCCAGCCCCTTTTCCCCAGCTGAAGCCTGGTGTTCTTGCTCTGGCAAACACTGCCAAATTAAATGTAAAAATGTAATAAGAAAAGCAAAAAAGGAGTTTGAAGAACAGCTATCCAAAAACTCAAAAGGTAATAACAAAATGTTTTTTAAGTACATCAGAAGCAGGAAGCCTGCTAAACAACCAGTGGGGCCTCTGGACGATCGAGATACAAAAGGAGCACTTAAAGACAATAAAGTCATCGCGGAGAAACTAAATGAATTCTTGCTTCAGTCTTCACGGCTGAAGATGTTAGGGAGATTCCCAAACCTGAGCCGTCTTTTATAGGTGACAAATCTGAGGAATTGTCACAGATTGAAGTGACACTAGAGGAGGTTTTGGAACTGAGAAACTTAACAGTAACAAGTCACCGGGACCAGATGGCATTCACCCAAGAGTTCTGAAAGAACTCAAATGTGAAATTGCGGAACTATTAACTATGGTTTGTAACCTGTCCTTTAAATCAGCTATTGTACCCAGTGACTGGAAGATACCTAATGTAACACCAATATTTAAGAGAGGCTCTAGAGGTGATCCTGGCAATTACAGACCGGTAAGTCTAACGTTAGTACCGGGCAAATTAGTTGAAACAATAGTAAAGAATAAAATTGTCAGACACCTAGAAGAACATAAATTGTTGGACAAAAGTCAACATGATTTCTGTAAGGGGAGACCATGTCTTACTAATCTATTAGAGTTCTTTGAGGGGGTCAACAAACATGTGGACAAGGGGGATGCAGTGGACATAGTGTCCTTAGATTTCCAGAAAGCCTTTGACAAGGTCCCTCACCAAAGGCTCTAATGTAAATTAAGTTGTCATGGGATAAGAGGGAAGATCCTTTCATGGACTGAGAACTGGTTAAAAGACAGGGAACAAAGGGTAGGAATAAACGGTAAATTTTCAGAATGTAGAGGGGTAACCAGTGGTGAGCTGGAACCGGTTCCTAGAACCGATTGTTAAATTTGGACAACCGGTTCTAAAAAGGCTTCTAAATTTAACAACCGGCCAAAAGTGGTGCCCTAGGCCACCGACTCCATGGGTGTTCCAGGGCTGGAGCACCCACGGGGAAAATTTGGTGGGTGCAGAGCACCCACCGGCAGCTCCCCGCCGAGCCCCAGCTCGCCTCCGCCCCACCTCCGCCCCTGAGTTACTCTCTGCCCCGCTCTGCTTCTCCGCTTCAGGCCCAAGGAGGCAGAGTGGAGGTAGGGTGCAAGGAGGCAGAGTGGAGGCAGAGGGGGGGGTGCAAGGAGGGTCACCCGCGCTGCAGCAAGTAACCCAGGGGGCATGCAGGGGAACCGCTCCCCGCCCCAGCTCCCCTCTGCCTCCCTGGGCCTGAGTGCGAAGCCGCCGCTTCCTTTTCAGCCCTTCCCGGCTTCCTGCTTGAACAACTGATTCGCGGGAAACCGGGGTGGGGAGGGGGGCGGAAAAGCAGAGCAGGGCAGCGCGTTCAGGGGAGGAGACGGAGCAGAGGTGAGCTGGGGCCAGGTGTGGGACGGGGAGCTGCCGGTGGGTGCTCTGTACCCACCAAATTTTCCCCATGGGTGCTCCAGCTCCGGAGCACTCACGGAGTCAGCGCCTAAGACACCACTTTTGATGTGATCAGTGGGGGGAACTAGTGGTGTTCCCCAAGGGTCAGTCCTAGGACCAGTCCTATTCAACCTATTCATAAATGATCTGGAGAAAGGGGTAAACGGCGAGGTGGCAAAGTTTGCAGATGATACTAAGCTGCTCAAGATAGTTCAGACCAAAGCAGACTGTGGAGAACTTCAAAAAGATCTCACAAAACTAAGTGAATGGGCAACAAAATGGCAAATGAAATTTAATGTGGATAAATGTAAAGTAATGCACACTGGAAAAAATAACAATGTGATGGGGGCTAATTTAGCTACAACGAATTAGGAGAAAGATCTTGGAGTCATCTTGGATAGTTCTCTGAAGACGTCCACGCAGTGTGCAGCGGCGGTCAAAAAAGCAAATGGGATGTTAGGAATCATTAAAGAAGCGATAAGAGAATAAGACGGAGAATCTCTTATTGCCCTTATATAGATAATGGTACGTCCGCATCTTGAATACTGCGTACAGATGTGGTCCCCTCATCTCAAAAAAGATATACTGACATAAGAAAAGGTTCAGAAAAGGGCAACTAAAATGATTAGGGGTTTGGATCGGGTCCTATATGAGGAGAGATTAAAGAAACTAGGACTTTTCAGCTTGGAAAAGAGGAGACTAAGGGGGGATATGATAGAGGTCTATAAAATCATGAGTGGTGTGGAGAAAGTGAATAAGGAAAAGTTATTTACTTGATCCCGTAATATAAGAACTAGGGGCCACCAAATGAAATTAATGGGTAGCAGGTTTAAAACAAATAAAAGGAAGTTCTTCTTCACTCAGCGCACAGTCAACCTGTGGAACTCCTTGCCTGAGGAGATTGTGAAGGCTAGGACTATAACAAGGTTTAAAAGAGAACTGGATACATTCATGGAGGTTAAGTCCATTAATGGCTATTAGCCAGGATGGGTAAGGAATGGTGTCCCTAGCCTCTGTTTGTCAGAGGGTGGAGATGGATGGCAGGAGAGAGATCACTAGATATTTTGTTAGGTTCACTCCCTCGGGGACACCTGGTATTGGCCACTGTCGATAGGATACTGGGTTGGATGGACCTTTGGTCTGATCCAATATGGCCATTCTTACGTTCTTATGGCAGGAGATGGCTGGGTGGCGGCATGTTTTGTTCCAGGGAGTGAGTGTGGGTGGCTAGTTGGGGCTGGGCACCTCTGATCTCAGTGCAGCAGCTTCCTTCAGCAGGCCTGTTACCCATGGTGCACTGAGGCACTCGCACCTTCCTCTCTACCCCGGGACCCTTCTTGGCTTGCCCTGTAATCAGGGCTTTCCAGTGCTGCAGAGGGGAGAGAGGTTCTGGGCTGAAGTGCTTGGACGCAACCCCCCATGACAGCCCCCCAGCAAATTTGCATGCCCTTGCTGGCGGAGTGTCAGTGAGCGAGGGTGGCTGCTCCCTCTTCCTCAGGACGCAGGCACTGCCATGGCTGTCCCCTGGAGGGACCTGTCACTATGGCTGAGAACAGCCAGCTGGCAATGCGCCGAAATGAAGAGCGAGGGGCAGCTGGGAGAGGCAGCTCACAGTTGGCTTGTTTCCTTTGGCAGAACTACGATCACTTATTCAAGGTGAATGATAAGTCAGTGGGGGGATCGTTTTACCTGCAGTCTAAGGTAAGCGGGGCATTGGATGGGTCTGGGCATCCATCCTGCTCTGTGCCAGGCTATTGGGCTGGCCTCGCAGGTTCAGGGGCTGGCTGGCTCTCTTAGGAGCTGGCGCTTGGGGCTGGAGGCTCAAAGACTGTCATCACTGTTTGTGGCGCTTTAATTACCCCTTTGAGCAGAAGCAGACCTTTTCAGGGGTTTTTGCCAGGGTGAACGTCCTGCTGGCAGTGCCCTCTGGGTGTCTCCATCCCCACGCCCTGCCCACATGCCCCCACACCTCTCTGGGCCCCCTGTCACACAGGCTGGACCCTGGGTGTCTCCGGTGGCAGCATGTCGGACCCTGAGAAAGGCAAAGTTCCCTGGGGTCTGGCACAGCGTCCATTTGCCATCCTGTGCTCTCTGGAGCATGTGGATTGAGGGGGCAAACTTCCCTGGGCTACAGCATCTTTCTCAGATTCCTCTGCTGCTGCATGGTGGGGCCTGGCCTGGAGCCAGTATCAGCAGCCCCCCATGCCAGTCACCAGTGTTCCCTCTAATTTTTTATGTCCGTGTGCGGAATTAATTTTTGTATGTGCACCAATATGGAGGTGATGTGTGACACATTACCTTCATATTGGTGCACATAACTCATGTGATGGGCGTGGGGCCAAGGGGTTTGGAGTGTTGGAGGGGGTTCACGGCTGGGGTAGAGGGTTGCAGCATGGGGGGATGAGGGCTCTGGTTGGGGGTGCAGGCTCTGGGGAGGGGTTTGGCGTGTGGGAGGGGGCTCAAGGCTGGGGCAGAGGGTGGGGGTTCTGGGGTGGGGCCAGGGATGATGGGTTTGGGGTGCAGGCTGCCCTGGGGCTGCGGTGGGGAGAGATGACTCCCCCCAGCCCTCTCTTGCCTCAGTATCTCGGGGCTGGGGAGCGGCATGTCTCCCCGGCCGTGGCAGCTCTGGTGGGCCTGGGCCGGGCTGAGGGAGATGCTCCTCTCCTGGCCAAGACAGGTCCACGCTGGGCCCGGGCTGAGGTAGGGGTTCCTCTCCCCCAGCCGCAACAGGTCCACGCTGGGGCCAGCGGGGAGGGGCACCTCTCCTCACCTGAGCCCCTGCACGGGGCTTAATAGGTAGCTGCACAGCTTAGAGGGAATTTAGCCAGTCACATAGGTGGTTTCTGCTGCCTCCTCCTGGCTGCCCTGTGAAGTGCAGCCATGTCCCTTGGCTATCCTGGGCCTGAGGCGTGGCCCACGTATGGCGGACTGGGCGGTAGGTGAGACTCATTGGAGACACTGTCCCACAGGTGGTGAGAGCCAAGGAGCGGCTGGATGAAGAGCTTCGAATCGAGACCCAGAGACAGAATGAAAGAGAACAGGGGCAGAAGCCAAAGACGTAACTACTCCCCATGCCCTCTTCTCAGCCCCTCTAAATTATAGCCAGCCAATAAATCTCCTCTCTGCAGCTTCTTCTGTGTGGTTTGGAATCAGGGGATTCCGTGGGGGAGCTGGGTGGGGGTCACAGCCTGGCCCATTGCTCTGCGGGCAGCTGTATCCACTACCGGATGGCCAGGGACTTCCCATAATGCACTAGGACAATTGGGCAACGAGATAGATGGGGGAGGACCATTCGCCTTGAAACATGGCGTCCAATTGTCCCCACCTGCCGCAGAGCCAGAAATGCCTGGTGCTATATGCAGCCAGCTGGCTGCCTCCTTGGGAGCCCCATGCTTTAGAACAGAGGTGGGCAAACTACGGGTTGCATCCAACCCATCAGACCTTTTAATTTGGCCTTCAAGTTCCTGCCAGGAAGTGGGGTCGGGGGCTTGCTCCACTCCGTGCAGCTCCCAAAAGCAGCAGCATGTCCCCCCTCCATCTCCTACACGTAGTGGCAGCCAGGGGGCTCCACACAATGCCCCCGCCCCAAGCACTGGCTCTGCAGCTCTCATTGGCTGGGAACCCAGAGCTGGCGCTGCATCTCCACGTAGGAGCCGGAGGGGGGACATGCTGTTGCTTCCGGGAGCTACTCGAGGTAAGTGCCACCTGGAGCCTGCACCCCTGACCTCCTCCCAACCCCCTGCCCCAGCCCTGATCCTCCTCCCACCCTCTGAACCCCTCCATCCTAGGCCGGAGCACTCTCCTGCACCCCAAAACTCCAGAGCTCGCACCCCTGCCCCAGCCCAGAGCTCCCTCCTGCACCCCACACCCCTTATTTCTGGCCCCACCCAAGAGCCCACACCCCCAGCTGGAGCCCTCACCCGCTCCCGCACCCCAACCCCCAATTTCACGGGCATTCATGGCCCACCATACAATTTACATAATCATATGTGGCCCTCGGGCCAAAAAGTTTCCCCACCCCTGCACTAGAAACAGGGTTTCTGTGTGCCCCTGGCTCAGTGTGATGGGGGTGGACACTTTCCACTGCTCCCACCATCTCAGAGATGTATCTGCCCTTCCACTCCCTGGCCAGGTCCATCAGTGGCCTTAGGTCAGTGTCTGCTGGGGAGGAAGAGTCAGACAACATGGGCGGAGATCTGCTAGGACGTGGGGAAGCTGCCGTGCGAGGAGACCCGCTGCTGAGCCCCCGGGAGTCAGTGTGAGCTGGCCCTACCTGACTGGACCCCTGTATGTCCAGCTTTCCCTGGGGGCGAGGGGCAGCCTAAAGAGCCCAGCAGTTTAGCAGGGCAAGAAGGCTGCCGGTTTCACTTGGGGGCTGCAGTGACGCATTTTCTGCCCAGCCATTTGGAAGGCCCCAGCTGCCTGTTCTCAGCCACTCCTGTGCAGCCCCGAAGGCGAGGCACAGATGGGCTCTTGGGACCAGACTGAGCCTGGGGAGCTCAGGAACCAGATCTCACCATTTCTAAGAGGGTTTTGCCAAACTAGAGTGTAGGAGCAAAGGGAACGGCTGAGCCCAGGAGGCTATAACTGCCGTGCTGCTGGCCTGTCACCACCTGCCTGGGTCCGTCAGACTGGGGAGGGCAGCAGCCTGCATGGCTTCTGGGGGCTCCCCGGTAAACTCCAGGGTTCAGCTGCCCTGAGATGCGTGGAGCATTTCCTGGGTGCAGCATTGTTCCACAAACCCCTCCAGCCAGGTGAGCTCTGGCAGCTGCTGATCACAACAGCTGTCAGACCCGTGCTCCTTCCACTCCTGATCATTGTAACTACCAGGCCACCCGGGGGGCGGCAGGCGGCATGTTCCCAAAGCGGCGCGATCCTGCAGCTCTCGGGGGATGGCAGCCCCCACCCTGTGTGGGTTTAGCTGTACCAAGTCCTGAGATCTGGCTGGGAGAGCCCTGCCCCGGGGGAACTGACCAGAGAGACTAACCCTGCCTGAGCCCAGCTGGCATAATAGATTTTCCCTTTCCTAAGGGCTGTCGGTACCACAATGACACACACGCACAGCCTTTATAGCACGGCCCTCTGTGCTGCTTTGCACAAGCCCTTCTTGGCTCCCTGGCCCTGCGGGGCAGGTGTGCTGGGCACTCAGCTGGGCCACACATGACTCTGACGTTCCCTCACTCACTCCTCATTGCCCCGGGCTGGCTGCACAGAGAGATGGACACTCCTGAGAACATTGAGGTTCATCCCAAACCCTAAGCCTGACCTGGCTGCCTCCTGTGGGGCCCCTTCTGGCACATGGAGGGGAGATGTCCGTATCAGAGGGCTCAGTGGTTCCCAAACTGGGGGCTGCAATGTCCTGGCTCCCCCTTTCTGTTTCGGTAGCACCTGCAGGCCTTGTTGCGCTGGGCGCTGGCCAGACCTGGGAGGAGGCAGGAGCTTGTGGGTCAGCTAGACACCAAGGGAGAAGGGAAATGGATAGCCATTTGTCCAAGATCTCCCAGCAGCTCTGGACTCAAACCCAGCTCTTCCCATCCCCACACCAGAGCCCTGCCCTGCCCCCCACTGTCTGTCATCGCCAGCAGATCCTGTGCAACCCCTCGCCCATTCCCAGCCCAGGCCGTGCCCGTCGCTGGCACCTAAAGGTGCAGGTACTAGTGGGAGGCTGAGGTGCTCACAGGGGTGGTGTCCCTAGGCCGTGCTGAGCAGGGTGGAGCCCCCGAAAAGCAATCACAGGCCGACACATCCAAGGAAACTTGTCAATTCACTTTATTGTTTTCTTAATAAACTTCCTCTCCTCCGGAGGCCGAGAGGGGCAGTCATGAGCGTCTCGCTTTGTTTCTTTAGTTAAACGCTATGCTAACAGCAATGGAGCCGAGAGGAGAAAGAACGTACACTACCAGAGAAAGGCACTTAGAGACGGGTAAAATACCGAGAGCCTGGAATGTGCGACGACGACCGAAAAACAAAACGTATACCGGCCCGGGCAGGCCTAGTCTATCACAAAGCACATGCTGTGCTACTGTTAACCCTTTGAGTGGCATGCTGCTCGCCCAGCCTGGGGCAAGAGGGCAGGGGCTTCTCAGCAGCCCCAGAGCTGGCAAGCATGATGCCAGTTCCCCCCAAGAGTCGGCTCTGGGGGGGGCTGGCTCCCTGCCAGACTTGGGCTGGGGTGCTGTAACATCCAGACCCTGAGAGCCCCTCCCTCCAGCAGCTGCACTGGAGCTTTTGAGGTGGAGGATGTGGCCAGTGAGGGGGTCGAGAGCCCTGGCTAGGGGGGTCTCCTGGTTGGAGGGTGGCAGCAGAGCAGGGGTCCTGCTGAGGGCAGGGGAGAGGTACGCAGGACCCCCTTGTGTACCAGGAGCAGCAGAAAAGACAACAAGACCCCTCCTGCAAGGGAGGAGTAGTCCGGGGGGCCCCTTGGGGCGAGCACTGAGCAATCCCTCTGCGGGGGAGGGAGCGTCCGAGGGGCAAGCGTGGGGAGGGGGAGAGACCAGGAGACCTGGGCATGAGTGGTGGCTGCTTGGAGATGCCCTGTCCTCAAGAAGTGCCTGAGCCTGCTCCTGTGGGCACAGCCATGCCATGCCCGGGCCTAGCTGTGCCCGAGGAGCCTGGCTCTGGAGCAGCCACTCAAAGTGCTAAACCAGTCTAAAGAATTTATGTAGCTTATATGTTCGTAGGCCAGCCTGGCTGGTCCTGGAGTGTCTAGAATAGCTTACGGTACATACTGCGCTGGTCTCTCCGGGCAGCGCCAGCTAAAGAGATGGGCTGAGCCCACGGGCATCACCCGCAACGGCTCAGTGCAGCTCTGTGGTGCCAGCCAGCCCACCCGCCTTCCGTCATTGGCCACAGCTGAACCTCCAGACCCATGTAGTGCAGGGGCCAACCCTGCCTAGATCTGCTGCCTGCTGGGGGCAACCACACCAGGCCCTTGCCAGGCTGGGAGGAGCCCGCTAGGCCGCATGGCATGAGCCCAATCTGCACGTTGCTGTGGCTCTATTCCTTACGGGCAGGTGCCTCCTGGAGACTACAACTCCCAGTAGGCACTGCTTGGGGGGTGCAGTGCCTGCTGGGAGCTGTAGTCTCAGGCCACAGCCTTGGCCACCCCACATTTAATGCTGTAACTTAGGCTGGCTTGCTGCCCCCTCACTCAGGGCAGGGCCCCAGCAGCTCACCAGCTGTGTCCCCGCACCGAGCAAGGGCTGTGATGCCACGTGGCTGGGAGGGGCAGACACATCAGCCCCCAGTGCTGTGGGGTAGCAGAGCCCCCCCCCACCAGGCTGCACCATGGGCAGTGAGAGTGGCCCTATGCTGTGTGTAATTAGCTTTCTAACCAACAGGATGCATGGGGGGCAGGAGACCAGCTGGGGGGGGGGGGGGGCTAATGCGCCCCAGCAGCTGGCACCCATAATCACAGTTCTCTGATGGGCCAGGCTCTGCTTCCCGCTGCCCCTCCTCAGGACCAGGTGCCCCAGGGGCATCCGGCTGTCACCCAAAGCCGCTTGGTCTCACCCTGGCACTGGGCCTGCTGCTTACCAGGCTGCCCACAGGGCTGGCTGGGGTGTCTCCAACCTGCCCCCCTAGGGCAGCGACAGCAGGGGGCACAGCTAGGCCCATCGAGGGAGCCAGAGAAGAACATGGGACAGCTGGCTGCACCAGCCCATGGGCATTACTCTGTGTGTGGGGGACAGGGCTAGTGGGGGTCCCACCTACTTGCACATGCCGCAGCCCCTGGCCAAGGACGGGCCCAGGGGAGCTCTCAGGGCAACAGCCTGCCCAGGCCACGTGCCCACAGGCAGCCTGGCAGCCACGCCTCGGGGAGGTGGAGCGCGCCAGGGCAGGGCTAGCCAGGGCTCCTGGCAGTCAGACTGGGACTGGACTGGCATGGGCTGGAGCAGGTTGCAGCTGCTGAGCCAGTCACTTGGAGATGGGCAATGGCTCCGTAGGGTGATCTGGCCAAAGGGGAAACCAGTTTGGGGAGCATCAGCAGCAGGCCTTGTGCGGGCGGGGCTCAGCCCCCGGCCTGATGAGACTCAGCTGACCACGAGCCCTTGGCAGCTGGGCAGGTGCAGCGCCAGGCTGTGGACGGTGATCCCATGGCTCCCTGCAGTGCTGGGGCAGGAGGCT